AAAATACCGTTTCGTGAAGTTAATTCAGTAATTCATTATTATAAAAGAATTAATAAATAAAATTACATAATTTTGTATTGTATAAGTTGTAAATTGTACATATTTTCTCGATAATACCTTCTATAAATAATTAACAAGGTTAAATGTTATGTTCTTCTTCTAAATATATTTATTAAAATCAGTGCAAATAAACTATATAGAAAATTTGATCTGGTTGCTTCATTTCATACATAGGTATATTGATAATAATTATAATTTGTGTACCCTATTGTGACATTATGTGACGTTTTTTTTTTATTAAAAACCTGTAAATCTTTATAAATGGGTTTTATTACTGGGAAGCAAAATCTATCAACAGCAGTTGACGAAACCTTTGGAAAAACTCAAAATGTTTTCCAAGTGTTTTCAGGTAAGTCTAGTTTAAAATAAAATCGATTAATTCAGCAATATAGTGGAAGAAGTTAATGTGGTAAAATATTCATTGCCGCCAATAAAATATTTTGTAACCTTTATTTCGTTTGCAACATGGAATTACAAGAATCTACAGCTTTCTGAATTCACTATTTCGTTGTTTCCTGGTGGAAAGACAATTGAATCTAAAATTTTCAATTAGATTATTTGTTGTTATTGTTATCGGGCACTTTCAGCACTTATTTTGCGAGGCGGATTTATTCTAATACAACTGGGAAGTATTCCAACCGAGGACATTTCGACAATTTTGATGCAAAATGTGGTTGATGTAGCAGTTTCACTCTTGTCGTTTATTAGTATTGGATTCATTTTTGCTTTCGGAGATAAAAGTAAAACTGGTGTTGTTGGTTACGGATCTTGGATTTCTCTTCGGACAAAACAGGCACAAAGGGCAGCGATATTGGGTATTTTAATAATGAATGTTTTCAATTCTTGCAGTAAAGTAATCGGATGGTACATTTCAGGTTGTACCGCCAGTTTAATCGGTTCTTCGGTAAAAACTACCTTGTTATCGGCCCGTTTACATTTTGTGGCGTATTTACTGTCTTCGTTTCTTTATTCGGGATTTTGTCAGCCGTTTATAATGCACTGGCTTTGGCATGAGAAAGGTTGGATGCGAAAAATACCATTTTTGAACCACAGCGGTTATCTACGAGATCACGGAGGAAACTTAACCGTTCACACGTCCTCTTCATTGTCAGGATTAGTAGGATCTATTTTCCTTGGACGAAGATTACTCCGACTAAAGGAACTTGATCCATCTTCCATAGGAACTGAGTCATCAGGGATTTCATTACTGGGATATTTCTTAATTGCGTCCGGTCTTATTACTTTTAATGTTTTTAACGCTGTTAATGGCGAATCCGTGGCCATATTGATCAACGATCTGATAGCAGTTGGAACTGGGCTTTTAGCAGTAGCATTTGTGGAATATGTAAAATCAAGAGCTGGTTTTAATCACTGGGTTATACTGAGGTGTTCCCAAGGAGCTGTTGCAAGTCTTGTTATCATCGGGAATGGTATCGACGTGTACAGTCCGTTAGTTACCTTCTTTGTGGCATTTCTTGGTGCCATAACGTATTATTTTTGCGCGCTTTTTGTATACAAAAGTTCTTTAGAAGATTATTGTAACATAGTATCGACTCATCTGCTGACAGGAATTTTGGGTTTTCTGTTGCCGCCGTTGGTTAGCAAGAACTCGAGATGGGGCAATGCAACAAGTGTAGAACAAAGATGTATCCATTTTATTTGGCATGCCCTTTTCGTCATGGTTGTAATGGTGTTTACAGTTTCATTGTTCACAACGTTGTTTCTTACGTTAAATTCGATTGGTCTTCTAAGGAATAAACTTGAGACGATTAGCCACGAACGAAGCGAATATGCTGCCGATCGAACGCGGGTTAAATGTTGTTTGAGGAGATTGTTTGCGAAAAACGATTTTTACATTGCACCTGGACATTCCCGAAGGAACTTATCCCTTTCGAAAAATATTTGCCTCCACGAAGGGGACTCTGTTGTGCAAGGAAAAAGTTTTTTTCGTGATACGGCTCCAGAATCTCTTAACGTTATGGCTACTGGTAGTTAATGAATTCGAAATTATTATACAGGTAGTTATAATTTTGTAAGATGAATAAAACTTTATCAAAGGCAACGAGATAGTGCAATTAATCTATATATTTTTGTTCAGATTAAAGTAAAAAGAATGTGCAACGGTAAAAAAATTTAACAAAATTTTTAAGTCATTATTTATTTAACTGAATATTTTTGCTGTAATAATAATTAGGGGTATTATTTTGTTATTAACACCTCTCTTTCTTTAATATGTTTCGATAAAAGATTTGAACAAGCAGGAAAAAGTTAATATTGAAATATTTGAGAAAGTTTATTGAAATTATGTATATGTAACGATAAATTTTCATAAAAAGCGACAGTCTAAATAAATACATATTATATTTTAATGTTGCCTGCTAAAAGTAGACTAACTGCTTTTATAGAAATAGGAAGGCGCCCATTTTTAAATTTTTAGTATAAATTGCTTTCGAACTTCTACAGTTTATTCGAACAATTACTACTTCGAAGTAGTAAAAAGTAGAACTTTTGACGGTAGTTCATATGTTCCAGTTTCTATAGTAACTAACCTAACAAATTCTGACTAGCGTGATAGGACTTTCTAGAAGTTTGTTAGCTTCAGTTGGTGATAATAGAAACATTTTCGATAAAAATGAGTGGTGATTGTGATAAAACTGAACAATTTGATGGACTGTTTCTTTCTATTGCTCAGCATCATCCTCAAGGTCCTTCTCAGGTAAGGAAATACTGCTATAAAAATGCAATGTCGTGTTACCGAAACGGTTTTTCTCCATTTGATAATTGTTTAACTGATTCACATTTTTACTTCATAGTTATTGGACACTTTTGTAAGTTTCCTCAGAAGAAAAACGGATTTCTTTTCTGGAGGACAAGATGGGGCATGGGAAAAGGTGAATTCAACTCAAGCAATATTTTTCTGTTTTAATTTCCAATTTGCATTTTAGATGGTAATGAGCACTTTTAGAAAACACGATAAAATTTATAAAGATGAACGAGATGCTGAGCTAAAAGAAAAGAAAGAGAAAGAAGCTGCAAAATTAGCAGCAGCTCAGAAAAAGACAACGAAAGCACAGCAACCAAGCAGCAGCAGTGATCATGCACAAATTACTGAATTGACAGATGCTGAAGCAGAGAAGCTTCAAGAAGAATTAAATGCTGCAAAATCAAAGAAACCTGAAACAGTACCTTCTGAGGAGACACCTACTGTTTCTAAAGTTATTGAAGAAGATGAAGAGGAATCTGAAAAAGGCAAACTTCTACCAAACAAGGGAAATGGATGTGATTTGGAAAAGTACAGTTGGACTCAAACACTTCAAGATTTAGAGGTAAGTGTTTTTATTAAACTTCCTTTTGTGCTTCTAAAAATACTTGAAATGGGTCAGTAATCTGTAGATGAATTAAATATTGCTAAAAAGTCTTTAAATCACAATTTAAATATTTTTCTTTTTTTTATGGGATGTTTACTGAACATTCCTTCAAGCATACAGATTATATTTGTTTTTTTATTGCAATAATTTCTTAAGTATCCAAATCTGCGTTCACAACATTTTTTATATAATTTTGATTTAACTATTAGTAGGTACATATTTAAAAATTAATTTTCTGTCCTTTTAATATTTTTATTAAAAATAATCAAGTTGTTAATAAATTTGTTTTTTCTGTTTCACCTTTACATTTAAAATCTTTTTCAAGTTATTTGTCTTTTAAAAGAGACTTTAAATTTTTTCTGATTTTTTATTGAATTATAAGTTCACTACTTTTCAAATTGTGCTAATTTTTAACAATTTCGAATTGTTCTTTTTTTTCTATAATTGCAATAAGGTTGCACGATTTTTTTTTTGTCAGAGGGTGTTTAATTAAGGATTTTATTTCATGTTTTTTATTACTTTGCATCACAAATATCACAGAATTCTAATACAAGCTTATAAAACCTACAGTATATTTACACCTGTTATAGATAGCATGCATACAAACATCAACTTAAGATTTCTTTGTGTGTTTGTACATTTTCGTTAAATGTTTACGTGCAAATTAATTATGAAAACAGATTGTCTAATGTAAACATACTGATATTTTAGATGCTACAAAGTTTCTTACGGCACTTTATTCTATTAATATTATTTCAATTATTTGGCACAATTTATGTGTAGCTCATTATCAAAATACTTCTGTGCTAATGAAGATACACTACATTCTTTTAATGTTAGTTATTTATGTCTAAATTATGTACAATTACAGTAGACATTTGATGATGCGAACCAAAAAGTGAATAGAATAAAATAGCATCCCTGCAGCTAATACGACTGGGGAGGTACCAAATATATGGGGGATTAAATATTGATCTTTAAGGCCAATGTTGAAGATTTAGTTTTGTTCAAGGTATACGGTGATCTAGAATAATTGATATGATGTTGGTCACATTATGCGGGGTTTCCATTATGCGATATTCACACGATCGAGTGTCTACTGTATTTCAAATGGCTTGATATATTAGCCTACTTATTTTAAGCGTCACAAACTGCAACGCTTCATAATAATAAATAAATTAACTTAAACGTTAAATTTAAGAAATACTAATTGGCAGTGTGGAATTTTTTCCGATAACTATACACTGGTACACTAACTAGTTCAACTTCAATGTCGCATCCAAATTAGTGTTTAAGTTCAAACGGAATTGGTTGTAACGATTTGTAGTTCTTTGTTCTACACCTTAAAGGCATTTTTATCGAAAACTAATCACACTGGCAATACTTATAAATAAAGCGTTTAATCTTCTTTAAATTCGATGGTAACGTGAAGAAACATTATTGCAGTTTTCTTCAATTTAAGTCATCTTGCGTAAGTGGTTTGCCCTCACTGTAAAAAAAAAATAATTAATTTTTACAAGAGGTTCTCTTGCAGTTAATAGAAGGATAGTTTTCTTAAGGATCTGAAACTTTCAGAATTTTCATATTTTGACAGATTCTGAAAATTGAGTGATATATCTTGTATGGGGTATTTCTGACTTACTTTCAAATAAAATGATGGCTGCTAAAAGCCCTATCGTGAATATTATCGACATCGAAACAACGAGTATAGTAAGCTGATGCTTTCTGCAGAAACTCCTCGTCTTTACTTGCGGTCTCGAGTTGACGTTGATGACAGTAAAATGTGTTGAACTTGCAACAGAAACTGTGTCTCCGTCAGGCTTTTTTGTAAGATCTTTGTGAAATGGCAGTAAATGATCGGGTCCAACTTGTTGTAGATAAAGTTGTAAATTGTGCTCCTTATTCGTCGTTAGATTCTTTTCCACATCCTGCGAGGCCACTTTGGCTAAATTTGCGGCTGTTAACAGTAACGTTCCCGATTTTGCACTCTAAATAAGTAAATAAGAATTACTATGAAGTATTTTTATTCAGGAAAGGTTTTCTTCGGCATATAAAATAATATCGAAATTCAAAAAAAGTTTCTAAGTTTCACATGAATATTTAAATGTCGTATGTTGGGTTGTCTATACGGTAGGCTAGAAATGTCCTAAGTAATTTTACGCATTCGTTATGTTGGTTGTCTATAGCTTAGGCGCGTAAATTGAATTATATTTACCTGTGTGCTGTTATTACTGGGTGTCGAGCCCCCAGAGCTTGCAGAGCTGCGAGCTAGTGTGGGTCTTGGTATATGCCAACTCTGAGTGAGATCTGCGAAGATCTGCAAGGACAATAAAAATTTTCTTTAGGTATGTATGTGAAAAGTATGGGATGCTATTGTTTGTACCACTGTTTTGTAGTTTGTTACATAAGAGCAAAATTAGCGTTTGCTAATTAATTATAAGTTTTAAAAGTTCGATGAACGACTTCGTTAGGCCTTGATGCTAATTGTTTATCGCATACATAGGATATGTAATTATTTCTTAAGGTATTACGAGAACATATTAAATTGGTTTTTTGTAAGGACAGTGATGATTTAATACGTATTTTGTATGATGCAATTCTTAAAGAGTACATTGATAATTACTTTGACTATACACGGTCCAGAATTGTTGATGACGTTGATAAATATATTGTGGTTTGTAAAAATTCATTCACTAGACGTCATAACGCTCATTCTTATCGTTAAATTGTTCCGAATTATTTGCATTTATTGAGCACCACGAATTTGCCATTCAACATTGTTGCTTATTGCTACTGTAAATGCATAATCATCACTTACAAAAACCCGTATCTTGGACGTTTGTTACATTCTTGTATCCATCCATGTAACTACAGAGCTTTGATCTCATTACGCTATGCGGTAGATACACTTATGTAGCCAATTCACGCACAGGACCGGCTTCGGATTGTAAATTATGATTTTCTTCAAAATAAATTACCTCACTGTGCTATTGTTTATTGTATCTACTTTACGTCCTCTAAAGCTCGGCACTTATTTATGTTACATTATGTGTATGTGTCTAAATGTGCAGAAAACTCAAAAATATTGAAAAAGCTCACCGTGCATTGTCCATGTCATTAAAAAGGATGTTTTAAGTGTAATCACTGAATAGACACTAGAAACCGCAAAATTTCATGAAACGTTCAGAATTCTAAAATGCGTTTCAATACCCAAGGTGTTATTTCCTAATTTGGGGGTTGTAATCCTTATTTTATTAAGTTCCATAGTATTGAATCGATTTTCTAGTAAAATTATTAAGTAAGATTTACATAATATGTATAGCGAGGCATCGGGAACCTTCTGTTTTTCTCGAGTTGGAAATTAATTTTTCGAATTATTTATGAACCACTCAATTATTAAGATACTAAGTATTACATTCTAGATACATTTTTGATGCCGTTTATTACTTTACTGTTCAGTTTTCTTAAAACAACAAAAACTGAGCCACGTTACGAAAGTAAACATAGATTGTTATAATAATTTATATACCATTACTTTTACTGTTTTTAGGATATAATGCACATTCTATTAATAACAAAAGTACGAAGCCCATGTTTATTTTTGCAAACTTGACCTTATTATGTCATTTTTAAAGAGCGAGCCTTCTCCGACCTAACCAATCGAATTGAACAATACATATTTATTTTAAAAAGTAATCAGCTACATACATACATACAGTCGATATTGCCTAATGCAAGAATGTGTTGCGAATTTTTTTTGCTCTTCGTTTGTTTTACTTTTTATCCTGACCTCAAGGTTGTTCTCCTATAGAATGAGAGTCAGGCAAGTAGCGAATTGAATTAGTTCATTTTTTTTCTATAGCATCTCGGGTAGACTGCAACTCGTACGATGAAATAACATACCGGCACGCCGTTTCCGTTTCCAACAACTTTTTCTCTTCGCAAAAAATGTGACATTTCTAGCGCCTTTCCTTTGATTTAGTAACTCCTGACGGTGACCGTTTGCGTAATACTTATATCGGACAGACTATGTGTACAGTTCCAGTATGCAAGCACAGGTGATACATGATTTTTCTCACGTTAACGCACGTGCTGATTTTTTTTTTTCAAGGTTTTGAGGGTGTTTTCAATCTAGTATTTAACTGCATTCTTAAGAAAGGAAAAGGGAAGGTTGTAAAATTGATATTTTATACATATGTAGAATGTAGATATAAATGAACCTGTCGTGTTTGTTAGTGAAATTCAAAATATTTCTTTATACCAACACAATTCACTCCAAAACGAACGATTAGAATTGAAAGCGATTTTTATTTCGGGTCCTAATATTTATTAACCAACGACAAACTTTCAGGTCTGCTTGCAGATGCATGTGGTAGACATGAGAACATATAATTTTCAGTTTTGATTACCACATTGAAATTAACCAAAAGTAACAGTGGCGAAAGTTCTGGGAATTAATGTAAGGGTTGTATTTACAGATAATTGAAATGAAATCTGAATCTCTAAATATTTGGAGGAAAATATGTGATGTATTGTTTATATAGATCAAAACCCAACGTATATAAATTTCAGTTAATAAAAAGCTTTTGAAGTGCGAGATGTTTTGGAAGTTGTATTTTAATCTTAATTAAAATTAATGAAAAAGTTATTAAAAAAATATGTTTAGACGTTTACTGAATAAATTTAGGAAANGATTGAATAAATTTTTGTGGCATTTCTTTACATCTTTTATGAAAGTTTAATGACTTTACATGTCTCAAAGGGCGTATAACTTAAAAAAATACCTGATCCTAAATGAACTAAATCTGGTGCTACAGTTTTTACAATTAGGTACAATTACGATACCCCAAGGTAATGGTTTTGGTTAGTTTTATTTGTTTTTTATGATTGTCCGATATAAATCCGAGCCACTGGCCTTTGAGCAGCGCTCGCCTTTGAAAAATTGCTCTTAATCTTTTCGTAATATAAATCAATGGTTTGCATAGCGCAAGAAATTCGTTCAACTTTATAATTAGAACTGTCTTTACCATAGTAATAGTAATAGGTATAGGTAGCTAATGTATGCAATCCTGGTGGTGTCGTAATGACCAATAAAATAATCATTTATTTGGTTCACTTTCATTTCTTAAAAGTCACGGGTCACCCGATCGTTGATTAACAAATGAATAGGTTAATTGTTCGCTTTTTTTTGTTTTTTCTTGTCGGATTTAGATCAGTGGTAGCATTTTGTTGTGTACGTGTAAGGTAAACATTGTAACCCGGTTTTATTTAAATTCATAATAGGATTAATCGACGGATACAGTGTTTTTACTCTAAAATTAGTTAATTGATGGGAGGTTATATAATAGTAAACAATTGATATTCGTGAATAAAAAATTTGCTGCGGATAATGAATTAGAAAAATTGCAACTTCTATAAGTAAAATTTGCTTGCCTGGCTTTTTTTAAAAGCAGCCAAGGTGCAATTTCTTTTAATTATAGTTTTTATGGGATTTTTTTGCAATAATTGACAAATACTTTGTTTTATCCTTCGGGAAGTAGTCATTGCATATGTAATTATTGAAGAGATGGTGGGGGTTTTAGTCTTTTGGGCCAATTTTTATTTTCGGGATTGTCTCCGGTTTTGCTCCTAACCATGAGTTCAAACCTAGGTTCCGATTTTTATAATGTCGATTGTCATTATCCATTCTGTTTCCATGTCATATACAAATACATACATAATACGTACATACATACCGTAAGCGTTCCATACAATTTGACAATATCCAAACTTGGACATTACGTTTCCTTTCGGTGTCAGTAGACTATAGAAGCAGGTAATGTGAAAGTGACTGCATGCATATGTTAACTGAAGAAAATTTAATTATTGCCGTAAATGTATTATTCTGGATGAGGAAGAGAATTTGCAAAAAAAAAATGGAGACGTCATTGAGCTCATTGTACTGACGGAACGAAAGAGAATGTCACAGATTTTTCCTGAATTTTCCCTATGTGTACATTCGTTCAAATGATGACACTCCATTTGAAAAAGCCATATAAGATGTCCGTCAGAGTATTATTCCATTTAAACAGTATTGTATATTCTCACTATCCCTGCAAGTCTCCATTAGCCCAAGAGGTGGCGGTCGTTGCTGGATAATAAGAACACATTCTGTCTGTTAGTAACCAGCCGGGATGTGCTTATATTGAGCAAGGACTACGAAAAATTCTTTTAATACAAACGTATGAGTACTTACTACAGTTTAAATGAAAAAAATTATATTGTCAGTGATGTAAAAGAAAAATATTTTATTTTCCTGTCTTTCACGTTTTCCTATTCTTTTCCATCTCCTCATTTTCTTCCAGTAAAAGAGTAATAACTGCTAAATCAGTAAGCAAATATTTTTTAGACATCACGACGAAAACGAGTTACTGTCCTACTGAGGAAGATCTGTTATATAATGAGAATACAACATACAACATTTCTGACCGTTGCCAAAACGTGATCAGACCGTAACTTGACCGATAGGATGAATCAGGCTTAATGCAATTGACTTCACTTCTGCCTCACGTAACTTTACACCACTGTGTGTATTAAAGGTGAGCCTTCTTTCGTAAGAATAAATTTGCACATTTTACTTTATAGGTGGGTACCTGTTGCATACGTATATGTATAAATATCCGAATCTAACAAAAACACGTGTAATAATAACTAACCGATGTGTGTCCAGTCTCGTCTCTGTTTGAATACTGATTTTGCGATCATAACACACGACAAAATATATGTCCATTTCGTATATTTAATTTGTGAATGTGTAGTAAAAATAAACTTGCCGTTGAGTGTGTTAACGGATCGTGGAATTTCCTGAGTCAATGCGGAATTTAATTGACGATAAATACGTAATAATGTGAGCCGACTCATTACGTGACACGAACTTGTGTTTGGCGAGCGTTATTTCCTATTAGGAGTTCAAGGATTATGTAAAAAAAATGATAAACGGTGTTCAAAGTTTATTCGATTGGACATATCGTCGTTGGAAGAAAGTAAACACAATTTCGAAATTAAAAGATATTAGCTTTTATCATCATCTGGTTGGGGACACATCTCCACTCTTTCCTATCCTGAGCTAATCTTTGCATTTACCTAAAACAATAACATCCTATATCCTTAACTACAGTAGAACCTTGATAACTTAATATTATTAAGTAAGATTTACATAATATGTATAGCGAGGCATCGGNGTCACAGATTTTTCCTGAATTTTTCCTATGTGTACATTCGTTCAAATGATGACACTACATTTGAAAAAGCCATATTTTTTTCAAAATCAATTTAAAT